TTTCCTTTCCTTCTCTTACTTACTAACTAAACTAACTACTACTACCTCCGCCTCTCTCTCTCTCTCTCTCTCTCTCTCTGGTATCCTCAGAATTGATCAGGCTTGGCAGACCGCTTTTCGCGATTAGCTCGAACAAACAGAGAGTGGATTCGGTCTTCTTGACCCGGATCTATCGTTCAGCAAGCGACGATTAAAAGGAGTTTTTTTATCTGAAAGTCGTCAGGAGAAATACGAAAGTAGATCGACGATCTTCACGGCGTTCGTCGAAATCGTAGGCATCGATGTCAGTGATATCGATAAGTAGATTCCAGTGCACGGTTTAAATCTTGTTGTCGCTCAAAAGAATTCGTTTTCCTTCTGTTTCTTGCTTCGACGAGGAATCGACGACGAGGAATCGTTTCTCTCTCTCTCTCTCTCTCTCTCTCTCTCCTTCTTAAATTTTTTCCAGGTCAATATCGAAATACATTTATCTTTTACTTTTTAGACTTGACAAGATTAGAAGAATTAACAGATGCACACGTAATATCACTTCAAATATAAAACGAATATTAAGAATTAAAGGAATTTTAAAGAAATTTTTTATTCACGCGATAATATAAAAACGTGTAAAAACTATTTCTCATATAGCGTACCCATCGATCAAGATTATATTTGTATTTACCATCCGCTAATCCAATCGTTATTAACTCGGCGAAAAAGCTGTAAAATCTAAGGAAATCTTTCGATCGCGCAAACATTTGCGGAATTAAGGAATAAAATTCTTAACTAGCAAGATTACCATCCCAATTACTATAATTACGACACGTCGCAAAAATTCATTTCACCTTTACCGGATGAAACTGATAAAATTTCTTCGTTGCAAGAAAACAAGCCTTATCTCCACGGCCCCGCAATCTCCGCCCCTCTCGTTATAAAATAATTTACATACCACGCGACCACATTTCTCGAGCGCGCCACAGGGCGGTTATGAGGCGGTAGATAAGAATTGCCACCCACTACACGGTGTCCTGGGGTGTCTGTCGGACGACACAGGTCAGTAATTCATCGTCTTGCAAATTGATTTCTCTCCTCGCGGTGGCACGAGACGACAGTCACTTCTTTATTTCTTCGTTGTTTGTTTCGCGTGGGAAAAAAGGGGTGCGGGATTATTGGAAGGGAAAAAAAGAAAAAAAAGAAAAAAAAAGGAAAGAAACTAAGGACAAACTCATCGTACGAAATTGTTACAGTACCGCCGGAGCAGCTTAGCATATTGAACGAAGATGGAACGTCTCATATTCCCTATTACATCCTGGGCCCGTACACCGAGGGCGCATCTCTGAATATTACCTGCGACGCTACTGGTGGTAAGTACTCGTGTTTCACTTACCCTGCTCTACCTGTGTGTCTCTCCGTTCACCTCTTGTTTCGCTCGATCGACGTCGAGTATTTCGAGTATCCGTGTGTTCTTGTGGAAACGCGTGTACGCGAATGTCTTCTCCAATTCTACCTTCTCTAACATTTCGATGTAATCACGTGGGATCGCTATCGATTTATTGAGCAACGTGTGCAACGTTCGCAAACACATGGTTTCAACCTGTCGCAGCACTTCCGCTTAATTGCGCCGGGATCGTGAATGAATTATTTCTCGGCCGGGATATTTTGATTTTCGCGTGAAAATTTTTATGGTAAATAACGTGTTGATAACGTGTTAGATAAGTACAAGAGATAAGTATTTTTTTTTTTTTGATGATTAAATTTAAATTTTCTTCCTTTTCACGATGAATTATGAATAATGTCTTTCATTTCATTAAAATATATTCTTTTTTCCACTATATTGAAATTACAATTGATATTTTCAATTAAGTGTTGAGGATGTGAGTATTATGTGTGCGATACATAAACGTTAATTATTTCTTTAAGGAATTATTTATTAATCATATAAAATCAAGATTAAAGAAAACATAATTTCTTTTGTAATTCCTTCCATCTATTGTCTTACGTTGTTTTATTTGTATTATTTGTATTATCTTATATCCCCTTGCTATTTTTCCCTTTGTATTCCTATTCTCACCCTTTTATTTCGTTCTTATCTCGTACAATTTGCTTTTCTGAGATATCCAGATAGAAGATATCCAGACAATACAACAATACAATAATTTTGAATTTTGATAATGTCTACGATTCATTTTAATTGATGACATATTATTTTTGATATCCTGATTGGCCAAACATTATTAATAAATTTAATTTTATTAATAGCAAAGAATGAAATAAAATTCCTATTCTTTTTATTTACGAATAATTTTTTCTCATTGCTTTATTACATTTTCTACAGTTTATTTTTCGATTTGGCAAACGAATTTTGAGTACTCATAAATTTATTTTTGGTTACTCTCCTTATAATCTATTATCTTTAAGAATAATTTCTTATATTGTAAAGTAATGTGTTTATTAAAATTAGAATTTACAAATGTGATACTACATACGAGTGCATAAATTCATTCTCAAAGATTTTTCAAATTTTCGTGTTCTTTTTGTTCCGCTTTTACATCTCTTTTTCCTTTTATCGACGTAGAATTTATTAGCCATGTGTTTTAAGACGCTAACTTTATGTTGTTTCGTATTTGCACGCAAGAAAACTATTTGCCTATCTTCTTGTACTTTTCTACTTTTCATTTTATTATCTTCTATATTAATATATATTTATCATTTTATTTATTACAATTTCTTCGATATAAATTTAATAAGTTAAATATTAAAATGCTAATTATAGTTGAACATTAACACCGTTAACGAGTTACGTTAAAATGTATAAAAGATAATAATGAAATGAATACGAAAAGTGTATTTATAAAAATTCCTTTTTCCCCCCTTTTCGTGTTACTTTTCAAATAACAAAAACAAGGAAGAAGAAACGTTAACTTATTTCCTTCAAAACTCGAAAATCACTCGATTTCGCGCTTATTCCCGTTGGCAACCCAATTTCTATCTAGCATCGATATTTTCGATCACATTCCATTTTACATTCGCATGCAACGCGATCGGCGCTTAATCTCTATGTAATGCGAACGTCACACGATCTACGCGTAGAAAAAAAAAAAAAAAACAAAAATTTCCATCAACGGAACAGCCGGAAGTTGATCGCTTCGGGAAAGAGAAGTATGATTAAAATGAAAATTTAATAGCACCAGGTACCGGTAAAGAAGATGAAACACACGGCTGTATATCGTGTTACGGCTCGTTGCTTTTTACGCGAATATAGCGTGCATACAGGGTGATTCATATGACTGGATGATTTATAAACCGTTCGTTGTTAAAAAAGGAGAAATAAAATTTGAGCGATCTTAATATCCTACCTTTCATTCTTTTCCTTTTTTCCCCATCTTGTTTCTCCGACAGTGAAATTACATTGTATCGATTATTTCTGGATCGTATCGATTTAAATCTTAAACACGATATTTAATGGGATCAGATTTTGTAATACACGTATATTCTTGTGTATTCCTTGGTGAATATTTTATGAAAAAGGTAGGATAAATTGGAGAAGTATTGAAGAAATTACGTTATATACAAGATGTGTTGAATGATATAATTTTGAGCGCATAAAAATTTTCGAGTTAAAATATTTGAATCGAACAATAATACTTTCCTGATATTTATGGCAGGAACGATTTGCATTCCGCGAAGAAATAGAGGAAGGAAATATCGGAACCGAATTTAACTACGTCTAACTGCTTGAAATTGTCTAACTATATATGGAGTCCTATTATTCGAAAGGATTCTATTTCGATGGCTACATGTACATTCTATGTACTTGGAAACTATTGCACGACGATTCTAACTCTATCTTATACAATGGAATTAAATCTTCCTTGTTCAAACTTTTATTTTCTTTTCTTTTCTTTTTTTTTTTTTTTATTATACTCCTTGAATTTTAACTAATAGATTTATTTTCGTAACAGAATGTTTCCTTATAAGTAGTATAAGCCAATATTAATCAGGCTTATAAAAATTATATCATTAATTTCAAAATATTCTTCACCATACACAAAATTTCTCACTTACCAACTCACATGAGATATCTTCAATGTAATCCTAGGTTTCTTGTATCAAAATTAAATAAATTAATTAATTTTTCTTATAAAAAATTTTAACGTGATAAAGGAATTTTTTAATAATCAAGACTACTAGAAACTTTCGAAATTATTTTTCAATTATTCGTGCGGAAACTCAGAATGTATGACAGCCATTAGGGACCACGAACATAAAGATTTCCAAGAGATATCTCCAATGTATTACGATTAAAAAAAATTCTCGTATCTTCTGAAAGATGTATGATGAATTTGCCAACGAAAATTCTCAACTTTTTGTTCCATCCAGATCAAAGTACATAGATACGGTTGCCAAGGGTATCCTTCACGCGTCGACGATGTGAAATCTGTCGCAAACCGGATCTCGCGGCTTCCAAGAAATTTCTTTTTAGCGTTTGTTATTTACGAGGGAGTATTTATTTATAGGAAATGGCAGACGGACGACTTGGCAGGCCATAATCCATAATGCCTCTGTCGCTCTTTGAACGACAAAAATATTATTGTTGGTCGCGTGCCGTTTCCGTGAAATTATCGTTTCACATTCTTGCACTCGAATATGCTATCGTTCATTCCTACCGTTTGTCGCCATTATGCGTCGAAACGATCACGAAAATTCCTCCTATTCTGTGCTTTTCTCTTCGACGAAGAAGAATTTATAAACAAGAATCAAAATAATTAGAAGAATGAATCGTTCAACTAGATTATTAATCGAATTTTGAAAATATTGTTTGAAATATAGAGAAAATTGAAATTTGAAAGATATTCTATGTTGTTCCATTTAACTAATAATATCTTCTACGAAGGAAGAGAAAATCAAGCAAATAATCAACCAGAATTTTATCTGTAAACAATCAGAAATTCTCTTTAATTTAAAAACAAGTCAAATAATAATCACCGAATATTAATTGTGTAATGTCCAACGTATTCTGTTAAAAATTCGAAACATCAATCGTTTCGTGTCAATATATCCGGCAATCGAGATAAATACGAAAAATTAAATATATTTCGAGATCAAAAATACGACGGATGTTCCATCAATACATATATATATATTATCGAACATTTTGAGAATATCATGATCAATGATCAATGATTGGCACAAATATTTCTACCTCAAATTTCATACAATCCTATACGATATCATTCTCTGCACGTTGTTTAATCATTTCTGTATCCACGCGCCTTTTTTCAATACCCCTCTCGTTCCGTTATCCCTTGATTGGACCAACATGCGTAAACAATGCTGGGAAAAGCTGAAATAAAATCACGAGAAGAAAAAAAAAAAAAAAAAAAGGAAGAAAATACACAGAATCGGGTGGAGATCCGGTTTTGTGGTTAGACACGGGAAATATATCGGGCAGAAATTTGAAATTCCTATTTTCAACGCGTTGATTCGCCCTTTTAAATATTTGTATCATTCTTCTTGTTTGTCAATAGGGGGAAAGAGGAACGAACGTTCAAATACGGGAAGCGCGTTCGATATATATTTTTTCTTCTTTTGGGATAAAAAACAGCGGTAGAATAATCGATCCTTTCAAAATTGTGTTATACGCAGGCATAAAGAAAAAGTGATTTTTGAGAATTCAATGTCCAATTTTGAAGTGTTGTCATTTTTTTAAAATTCTAAAGAATTATTTGATAGAATTTATCTTCTTCCTTTTTTTTTTTTTTTTTTTTTGGAGTATGCTAAATAACTGACTTGTATTTGTTTCTTGAAAATACATTTCGCTATTCAGATAACGTCCATTCAATTTGCTTCTAAAATATCACGAAAATCTTCTTTGTCTTCTATTCTAAATCTTATTACAGATATTCTTCCATTGAATTTTCTATATCACGTAATTTAATCTACAATGAAAATATAGTTTACATCCTTCCCAACAAAAGAATTCATAATATCTCGAAAAAAAATTTTTACACATCTCGTTTAACATTCTCCGATATTCTAAATATTTTTTGTAACATATCAGATTCAATTCGAATCATAGCTACGAGACGAACGTAACGAAACGTATGTATATCGAGGAAAAAGAAAAAAGTCAAAGGAAAACGAGAGATAAAATGCATACATCGAACTTTTATTGAATCCTTTTTCTTTTTCCACGTTCGACGAATGAAAAGGCAGAAAGATAGCGCACAAATCGAAACCGGAAACGAATGTTTCGCTTACCATGAACATCGTTCATTCTATTTCGTTTCGTGCAGGTCGACCTCAGCCAAGAGTGACGTGGTGGCAAGAGAACGCTCTCCTCGACGACACTTACGAAACTATTGAAACGAAGAAGGTACGGAATGTGCTGCGATTGGAAAAGTTGGGCCGAGAGCATCTGAACACGGTTTTAACTTGTCAAGCTTCGAATAACAACATGGTCGCTCCGATATCCAGTTCTGTTACTCTCGATATGAATCGTACGTATAACAAATTAAATTAATTAATTGATTTTTCTGTTATTCAATTAAAAAGCTCTATCTTCTTAAAATTTGAAAAATTTCAATAGAAAATTCGATCAATTAAATTAAGAATACATAAAATGATGAATATTTTTTCATTTGACGAACAAAATTCTATATTAGAAATGTACGATTTATCCTGTACAATAATTACCACTTCATACTGTTAAAAATACATAATCGATACAAGAATAAATTATTAATCTTACTAAATCTGAATAAATAACGTAATATCCCTCGCAATGTCGTCTGCCAAAGAAAAAAAGGAAACGCGTATTTAAACAGTTCATGATAAATCCGAAAATCAATCAAACCTTATCTATCAGTGTTTGACAAATAATTGAACGTTAGTTGCTAAAACCTTGTTTAACGTTCGAAAGTTTCGCGAAGTACTTTCCATTAACCGGTTCAGGAGTTAGTCGAAACGATTACTCAAACACTTCTATCGTTCTACAAATGTTATGGAATCCTATCTGGAAAGGATAGATCATTCGTACTCGAAGGCTAATGGATGGTACACGTGTTTTAGTGAAGCCATTGTGGGTCCGTATGCAAGGGAAGAACCATCCATTTAGCGCTGGCACCATATACGAGATCACTTGTGAAGTGGTTGGGGCCAGGCCGACGCCGAAAATCACGTGGTCTAAGGGTAGCATGATGCTCAGGGACACCAGACAAACGGTAAGGTTGAACGGTACTGTTGATAATGATATGCGATCACTACTGATTTTGAGACTATTGGATTTTATTAATCCAGTTGAAAGATCCTTTCCTTAACTCTTTTACTTAAGAGAAAAAAATGGCTTAATTACTTGTGCTATTAATATATAATTAAAGAAAGAATTAATCTTTAACATTCGTTCCCAAATGATTTCCAGAAAGAAATGAATATTTATAATTGTTTCTTTAGTAATTATAGAAAAAGACGTTTCAACTTTAAATAATCTTGAGATACATTATAAAGCAAAGAGTCCTGATTAATTGGTGCATTTTTTCAAAGCAATGGAACAATCGTGACTCCAAAAAATTCCCATTATCATCACGTTTCATCGTTAAAAAGAAATATTTCATTTTTCACATAAAACGAGCTCAAAGTTCCAAGTTGTTTGGATAAATTAATTGCGACATAAAGAAAAAAGGAAATCCTATCATATTCTTTCCTCTTCCTCTTCGAAATTCCATGACCAATATTTTGGAGAGCAATAGGTCTCTAACTTTTCTGCCCCTTTTCTCGTTGACTTTCAGAGAAAGCTTCGATTCTTTAAATCAGTCCTAGGCATTTATTTTTTTCTGGCGCGTGTATATGATAGGCGGGACCAGTTCGATAAACTGTTTTAAATTCATGAAAGGTTGTCCCGCAGATAAGCCCCGACAACAACATCACCATGAGCGTCCTCACGTTCGTGCCGACTATCGAGGATGCGGGCAAGTTCCTCTCCTGCCACGGGAGTGTGCAGAATATCCCGGATTCCGAGATGAAGGACGAGTGGAAGCTCGACATACACCGTGAGTTTGTTTCCATTGAAATTTTGATGAGAGGCGATCGAAAGTGGAGAGAAGTTTGTTCTCTCTCTCTCTCTCTCTCTGGTTTTGGATATTTTTGCAACGCTTTTTTTTCTTATTTCGTATGCATTTAACAAGGTATTATGTTTTAAAAATATTTTAATTTTGGTTTCCGATACGTAATTTTTCACACTTTAAATTAGAAAGTATAATTGTTGATACTTATTCTTTTTTTTCGATTTATAATTATTTAAATAAGCTGGAAATAGATAGAATATGTATCTGGAAATAAGATACGATTGACCAATACATATTCTGCTTTAAAATTTAGTTGATTATCAAATTAATCAAAAAATTTATATAAAGTAATTTCCGTTCCTGATTATACGATCATGATTCGTCAATCACCACCAACCAAAGCAATAAATTTTAAATAATTCTCTTATATTCTCTCGATAATTTCAATTATCGATATCCAATATAAAAACTTTAAATCGATTTTAAAATTAAATCTCAACAATCTCGATTAATATTTATTAAATTGAAATACATACATATAAGATTTAATTTTTTACTTTTCAATATACAAATCAAAGAAAGACGCTATCACCGATTGAGCCAAACAAACAACAAAAAAAAAAAACAAAACGAAAATAGAAGAGACAAAAAAATCAGGAAATTTATCGACGATGTCTCTACATCGTGGTGAAAAAAGTTCCACGGACAGATTTGGAAATGCCTCTGATTGGTTTCACCGACTGATAGAATTTTGGAAACGCCCGGTTTTTGCAATGTGTCGTCCGCAGGGAAGCGCGGCTACACCCCTGTCCAATAAAAATGAAATATAGTTGATGAGCGATTTATTGCTCCACCGCTTCGAGCGTAATTTAATTCGCGTAATCGATAAAGCAACGCGTTTACGAGTGATTGTTTCGAGGGATGAAAATAGGTTCCCTGAACTTTGCCCGTCTCTAATGCGAAACGCGTGTCGTCCGTTCTTCCAGTCAACTTTTCTGAGTCGGGTTTGTTTGGATTAATTAAAATTTTTAATTAATTCCTTCGCAGAACGTTTCCACTGAAAAAGTTGAGCCTTGATCTAGGAACCCGGTGTTAAATTGTGAATCCACTGGTGTATACACAAATAACACGAAGAATGAAAATTATCGGTGTGTCATAAGAAATCGAGAATATATCGAATAATATGTATGTATTTTTTTATCACGATGCAAAACGAATTAATAGAACAGATTAACGTGGAAATAGGAATGGAATGAAATAGATTATGAAGAGAGATTAAAATGATTTTACGATTGCGATTTCAAATTTCAATTTTCGAAAATTGAGATCCATATTTTTCGGCGGCGATCTAAACTAAAAATATTTCAATTTTCAATCGCTTCGAATATTAAATTTTTCAAATTTCAAACTCCTATTGAACGTTAAACCTTTTAAATTTCAAATTGTTCGAACGTTTAATCCTTCAAATTCTCCGATTCCTTTTTAAATTTTTCAAATTTTAAGCCTGTCGCGTATTTAAAAATACTGAATTTTTTAAAAATATTAATCATTCAAGTTTCAAATTCCATATCAAATTTCCATTCGTTTAATAATATTTTTCGATAGTTTTCACTCGTCATTTCCAACAACAATTCTTCAGCTTCGTTCCATTGTTTTGCTATCCATATTATTGCCATTGCAAAAACTGTTTCGAATCTCAAACAGGTAGATTGGCACGATCAATGCACTCTCCCTTCGCGTTCGTTGAATCCTTCCGTTTTTAGACGTTTCTTTCCCTCACACGACCCTTGTTCTGCATCGAATAGTCATCCTTCTGTAAATTTCCGCTCCACTAACACTCTCGCCACTTAAGAACCTGACGACAGCACGCTATTCCCCCGATGTGCAATCTTACAGTGGAACAAGCTTCTTGGCAGCCAACCAGAACACACTATAAACTAAACAGAAACGCTGGAACCAGAAGCAAAACCATGCCAAATATTTAAAAGAACATTCCCGATGTACGATTCGGCCCATTTATTTCTATTCTCTATTTTTTCTTTCTCTTTCTCTTTTTCTTCTTTTTTCAATATAAAAACACTTTGAAACGAACACTTTAAAATCTTGTAAGATGAGATTCAACTTGAACGAACGTTAATTTTCATCGATTTAAAGAATTTTTTCCAAATTTGTTTCTTTCTTTCTCGAAAAACAGAACAAAATGCAATTCTATTCTCAAATCAAATTCAAAATGGGAAAAAAGCATTCCTGCTTCTCGTATAAAATAGCAAACAAAAAGTTTAATTAATCCGGTCTCAGTAATTTAAAACGTTTCAATTTTTTCCTTCTCGCGAATTGAACGAATTGAATTTTATAATTAAACTGTTCCATTATTTTTAATTAATATTGTTAATTATTAATATTGTTAATTATATTCGATTAATGAAGCGATACAGTTCTTTTGAAATTTTTTTCTATAATAATTAATTCATTGAATAATTTTATTTATTGTTTCGTGTTATACAAATAATACAAAATTTTTTTTCAACCCTTAATTGAGGAGATCTCGAGGATCTCGAGTAGTATATGATTTTATAAATGTCTCAGTAATCTTCATTTAAGTTGAGCTTTATAAGTATAATTTATGAGAAGAAATTATAATTTTTTTCATTGGATTATCTACGAATTCTCCAGCAGAAAATTAGCATATTCTCTCCTTATTAAAAATACTTGAAGTTAATATTTTCTATTACTTCTTTCTACTATTTCACAATTTGATCAAAAATTTTTTTATGATGATTTATATTATTCACTTATTCTTAAATTAAATACGTTTTAAATTATTTCGTTTACATTTTTTAATTACATCGCTTCACTTTTTACTAATTATCAATACCAAATCATTATTTTCTTTTTATTTAAGAAACACTAAATTCAAACTAAATACATTAAAGGAATAAATAATAACCGAAGAAAAGAAATAGGAACGACCAGGACTTTCTTCTCTAGAAAAAAACTCTTCACGTTCATTTCACACGTTCCACACGCTTATTTCCTCCTTACACTTATTTCCTCTCCTCATCATCCCTAAACTCGCGTTTCACCGGCAGGTCGGTGGCAAGAGCCGACGAAATCGCGCATCGAAATTAAAACTCGCGCGTGCAAGCGAAAGAGGAACTTATTTATCCAGTGGGGATTCTGTCAAGCTGAGGTCGCTTGTATTGGCGGCTTCACGCTCGATCTCTCGCTCGCTATTAGCAAGAAATCCGCTCTCTTGTGGCCTTCCCTCGATACCGCTCCTCCTCCTTCGAACAAAAACTGATGAGCGAAAAGAAGAAAGCGAGAAAAACCGAAGGGGAAAGAGGGATGAAAGGGGTGGGAAAAAGGAAGGAGGAAAACGGAGAAAGAATCGTGAAAAAGCAGCCGCAATATCGATTCACTCGGTTCTTGCTTATGATTTCTCCCGGCTCTCTGTACAACTCGTAATACGAGTACACTGAAAGAATCCGATAATTCGTGCTTTTAGCAAGTCAATTTATCGAAAATTGTCAAATATATATATTTGACAATTCTATGCCTTTATCGATTTTTTTAATCTCTGTGTTTTCGTTTGAAGAAATTAATAATCATCGTATTTATCGAAGGAAATGATTTTCGAATGAAAATTTAAGAATGAAGAAGATGGATTCGATGGAAACGAAAGAAGATCAAAAGACGCTGTTCGTCTCGAATTTAGAATAATCTCTTTCTTAAACAGTGAGATTGGGACGAAAATAGGGGCAAAATAGGAGACAACGAAAGAGAAAGAAAGTTTGATGGAAAAAGCTGAAACTAACCGATGAGATCGAGTAGAGGATAAACAAAGAGAGGAAAACGAGTTTCATAGAGAAAAAGAGAAGAAGATTTAAACGAGAATGAAGGAAAGAAAATCGAGAGAACGAGAGAATCTTCGGTCATGGATCGGCATGTACCATTAATTTCCGTGGAGCTGAACCGATCTCTCGTTTCCTCTTTCTCTCGTTTTCGTTCGTATCCTCTCATTTCCTCGCTGCCTAGTTGGGAAAAAGTTTTATATTGGACAATGAAATCACGGTGTTAATCTCCGACAACGATAGCAGGAACAACGGATCTGCATAAAGATTCCGTCATGGAATCGATCTCGGAGGTTGTCGCGAAATTTAAAGGATTATTTCGCGTATTTAGAGGAATAAAAGGATTTTATCGTAAACGAATCAGAGTTATTTACTTAGAGTATATTTAAAGATTTTCATATAAACGTGACTTGTATATGATCTCGTGTGTGTAATAAATTTTTATGAATGTAAAAGACGATAAAGAATGGATGAGAAATAAATATCGAATATAAAAGATATCTTCTTCTCAACAAAATGTTTATTTTAATTCGTAAAATCAATTCTTCTTACTCAAAATCAATATAAAACTCTCAATTTACTCGGTGTGTTTATACCGTGAGCCAAGTTTTGCAATTTAGTTGGAGAAAAATTAAATTATTTTTCTTCCTATTAACTTTTTAACTTTAACTTATTAATTTAATAAGTTGCGAAAATTTGCATACAAATAAGAAATCTTAGAAGAAATTTTTATTCAAATATTCAACACATCCGTACATTTATTTAAACTCCTCGACATTTTAATTATTATCCACAAGGCGCGTCGATTAATTTTGTTATATGTCTATATAAAATTTGTGGCTTTAAAGTATTATAAAGTTTCCCCGTATGTTTAGTCTGTAAATTTATTCTACAAATTTTTCAATATTTCGTTCCACAAACTTATGAAACCATCCCCAACTTAGCATAGTTAAAGTCTATGAACTTTGTTGAGAAAGTATCGATATTCTAGACATTAAAACATTCACCCCTTCGAAAAGTGAGATCTTATCGAGAAAACATTGCATTATGAAGGGGTGAAATATTGTTCCAGTTTGATCTAGTTGAACCGATTTCCGAAACATAGCCAAAGGCTGAATCTGAGGAAAGATTAACACGGAAAATTGATTTTGTTGTTATCAGAGCGGGCAATATTGCGTTACATGCAAATGAGAATTGAAGACTTGCTTACATTGAACAATGTAATAAATGTTTATCGCATAAACACGATTTATCATACAAACGACTATAATAATTCTTTATCTTGTAAACACTATCGATTTATGAAACATTATATAACACGTACACGTAAACTCAAAGGTTTATATATCTTTCTTTATTATTTTACGATAATGATAATAATATGTTAATAATAAATATTATCCGATGGTGATGGTGATTGACGATCATATTTTAAATAATCCCTATTAAATAGAGATTAAAATTAGATCAATATCGATTGCCAAACAATAATCCATCCTTCTATTTTTCTCTAACTCTAAACCTACGTATAGCCATGTTTAATTTTTTTTCTTTTCTACGTAGAACAATTCCAACATCCCACAGAACAATCCAACTTCCAAGTTATCCCAGGCAAGTACACCCAAGACCCCTATCACCCAAAATGAACCCTTCAACACTCTCGACTCCCATCAACTCTAGTCGCAACACGAATCACTCTCATCTATTTACCATCCAACTCGCCAAACTCGCGAGTTGTTACATATACAAAACAATAACCCCTTTCTTGCTCCACCGCCCTACTTACCACCTCCCATCCCCTGTGGAACACGTGTTCGCGCGTTCCCCGAAACGACAAAACGGACGGTGAAATTTCTTACACAAGGAAACGACACGACGTTCAAACTTTCAGACGAGCCGGTGGTTACCCTCGAGCTCGGCAGCAATTTGAACTTGAGCGCAATCCGCGAGGGTATCGACGTTTACTTCGAGTGCAATATCAAGTCGAATCCGTGGGTGTACAAGGTCTCCTGGAGGCACAACGTGAGTCCAAACAGCCACGATCTATACATCATTCGATGTAGACGACGATGGAACGTTCCCTAACGTATCCGGTTAACGAATCCGCGCGCCAGTTTCCGGGATCGATAATTTAGAACCTAGTTTCAAGCTTGATCGAGATAAGGGGAGGGGAGGTGGCGCAGCTGTGACGCCAAGTTTCCGTTTAAAATTTACATGCTGATACCGGTGGAACCGGCCTGTAAGCGTTCTTTGAACTAATAGCCAACGTTCCGCATCGATAAGAAATTTATCGGCGAGCTTCTGGTACCGTTGAAGTAACCCTAAGCGTTTTAGGTTCCTCCTTAAATGGGGGTGAAGTCTTCTGACAGGGAAGGATACGATATAATAGGAAGCTCGTCAAGGGAATCGGGCGATGTGCACCGATTTTGGTTGAGACTTTGTGGATAGACTCGATGGGTGATAAGTGTTTTGGAATAGATTGATATAAGTAAAGTTTGAGGAGGAAGATATCTGGATTTATCTATATATATCTTCTTAAGTAATCTCTTGTAATTTTAATTATTTTAGATACTTTTATTACGTGGATGTTGATGAAATTTTGAATAAATGTAATGGAACGAATATTCAATGTGTCAAATAGTGAAATATGAATAGACTGTATATAATTATAGGATTAATTTCCTGTTCGAAGAATTGAAATTAAAAGTTGTACTTTGAATGGAATTAAAATTAAACTTTAGAATGGATAATCTATAAATGAGTATAACTCGATACAAAACAAAATGAAATAATTTTAATTAACGATTAAAGAAAAAGTATAAAATAATATTTATAATTGTCGAATATAATTGTTCTTAAAATTTTGAATCCTAGAACATCCAGGAAATTATTTAATATTTCCTGTAATATAAAGTATAATCGTAAAATATACGTAATCGTAATTTAATTAATAATTCAATGTATTATTTAATTAATAATCATTAACAAAATATATTATTTGCTACAGGTATATGAATATTACGAACATTCGTGTTCTAGGATTAAATTACATTTCAAATTAATTTCTGTATTAAATATTATTTATACATTATATTATATATGTGAGAATATTAATATTAAATTTTTAATAAAATTTAATATTATTTTATATTATTTATTTTATATTCCTTTATACGTTTATTGCATCAAAATCGTGCCATATTATATGTTTTATATAAACTCTCTATTTTATAAAAAATATAGTGTAGTGTCTTCTATTTCGAAATAGAATTTATTGCGCGAATTTCTGGAATAAATGAACTTCGTACATAAATTAACCAATAATTTACAACGCGTTTTACCATTTCATTAATTATCCAGAAAAGCTATTAGTTAATTATGAATACATTATTATAAAACAAAGAAACTTTTTACATATATTAACCGATAATTTATAACTCGTTTCACCTAACTTGCAAAAAAATTTTCCTTTTCTTGATACAAATTCTTAAAATTTGCAATAATTTTAAAAATATATAAATAATAAAATTCAGAAAATATAAAATATGACATGATGAACGAACCAACACCATTCAATTCTTCAATTTTTTTAGATAATAACTATCTTAACATAAATGTTTAAAAAAGTAATAAATTTTTAAATCAATTAAATACTTTTCACCTCACAAAATTGCATCAACATCACTACTTAAACTTTCATATGTAATTTTCTATGGGAATTACCGATATTCCATAAATCAATTGAAATTTTCATAAACATTAGTAACATTAATTGTAAGAGAAACGAAGTCAATTGTTGTTCCTGATTGATCCAATGAGCCAAGGATATGGAACATGATTGGTATCGAGCTACAGCAATCACAATAGAGATTTGTTTAATGATTAGCTATTCCAATGAACGGATTTTCCTATTCAATATTAATCTGTTTGATATTGGTGTGTTCAATCTATGCCTACTCACTGATTGGTTACATGGATATAGCGTCTCATTTATCATTACCAGTCTGAAAACGTTCATCGAACTCTCCATCAGTAAAATTTTCAATCGTAATCTTTTCGATAATTCGTAATAAAAAAAAAAAGAAGAAAAAAAAAAGAAAAAAAAAATGTAAATATTCTGAATTTTTTCCTTTTTACATCTTCTCTCCATGAATCATCATTATTAATTCCGTTTGCGTTTTAAGGCGAAGATATTCTGACAGTACAACCCTACAATTCCGCACTTTAACGCGCCTTTACGTTTCATTGCCTCAGTTCCCTCCAATAAGAGAATCATATATTTTGCATTACTACGTTTCATCATGAATATTTTAAAGTCAGATGTGTAACTTTACCTTTCTGCCCAAAGTGAAGCAATCGTAAAGTCTTAGAAAAGTCAAAGTTTCCTTTTTATATCATCTTCTGTTTGTTTAATGAAAAAAAAAAAAAAAAAAGAAAAAGAAATTAAAAATGATATCTGATATTGATAAACGAGTAGCAAGAAATATTTAAAATTGTAATATAATTAATGAATATTATACTACAAAAATAATAATGAGGAACAGCAAGAAAAAGCAAAAAAGAGAATAAAGAAAATTTATCTAGAAAACTTTGCTGTAAATTTTTTACGAGTACATGTATTTTAATATTTTTAAATTATTGTAATAAGCTTTTTAAGATAACTAACATACTCAGTTTAACCACAAAATAAAATCATCACTCAATGGTTAAATCGAAGCAAAAAACATGTGAATATTAAAAAATTAATCTTCCTGGTAGCAACGAGTACGACGAATTCTGACATCTTGCACAAGGCTCGAACATTCCTAACACAAAATTCCTGCAGAGCAGAGAAAGGAGGGTCGTTTCAATGGAATAATAATTTCATGCAGAACGATTACCCTCCTCCCGCGTGTTCTAAGGGAGCTGGAAGATTTATTTTAAACGAATGCAGACACCCGTTCCTTTGTGTCCGTATTGCACCAAGTTCCATAAATATTTCTTCGCACACCTTCGAATCATAATGTCATTGTAGTCACGGAGGTGCATCCCTTTGTCGATCCTCGTTTGATTCGAGGACAACCGGAAGATTTTCGCCGGTGGTGGCGATGTGTTTGGGCGAAATTCAAAAGAGTCTCTTCTTGAGAAAAAGAAGAAGAAGGGAAGACATCGTTGGCTTTGAGAAATTGAAAAACTGTCACCACTCTTATTTTTTCTCTCTTACCACTTCTATTCTTTCATTTTCCTCCTTTCATTTTTGCACGAAATTTACAGGTGAACCGGTCTCCATCGATCGATACAAGTATCAAATCCACCATTAATCACTCAAGAGTAGGTCGCTGCATCCTCTTGTGGCTGTTTAGTCACTGTCGATGCTACTTTGTCACCCTTTCATCTTTTCTGACGAACTTTTATTTCTTCGAAATATATCTTCACGCGTGATTTTTTACTCTATTTCAATTATTCGAGGATGAATTTCGCAATCCTCGCTCTATTAGTTTTTTCCTAACAAGAATTGACACAACTTTGTCTGTTGTCTTTGCTTTTATCGGTAAGATTTTTCTGCTATAAATTTTCAATTCGATTTTTCGATAAATTTCATTGAAAAGACCACATTCCTCATCAAAAATCATGGTATGCAATATTTAATTTTCCTGTTAAACCTTGATAAAAAATTCATTTATATTATTTAAATATATTATATGCTTAAAAAGAAAAGAAACCAAAAAGTTTGATTAAGGTAAAATTCAGAACAAAAAGATCCCAATAATTTAAAAATACAGATTGGAGGATCCCAATTCAATACAATTTTGTATCGCTTTTCAATAATTTTCGTTTCGTTTCAATGTATCAGGAATATTTGAACGATTCATCGTCGTCATCGTCGTTCTCGTTTTATTGAAAAACATTTTACGTTCGTTCACCACGATTTTTTATTTCCACAGCGTAATCCGTTGTATCATAATCAAGCGACTGGAACCATAATCAGTAATCAAAGCTTGGTACTGCAAAGCGTGACTCGTAGCAGAGCCGGGATCTACACGTGTATTGGCAGCAATCAGGAAGGCGATGGAGAGAGCAATCCACTGAATCTGGACATCAAATGTGAGTATATTGGCTATTCATCTTGGTAGTTCTTTGGATGGAGAAATTGTATCGTGCTTGTTGGAGTTTGAAACGTTGGGATCTTTAATTTTCAATTGATATCACTGGATAACCGTGACAATATACATTAAATTTAAATTACTTTCTTTTATCCTAGGCTTTGTATTTAATTATAATTTGCATCCTGTGCGATAAATACAAATATAGTTAACGAAAAAAAAAAATACAAATCAAAATTTTTAAGATTTTTAATTTCTTTTTAATAAGATTATTTAAACGAATTCGAAATATTAATGTATGTTAATTTATGCTCCCTTTGTATATTGTAATTATAAAATCACAATATACATCCTTATTTTGCATGAAATAAATTATCACCTATCGTTATTGTTCAATATTAATTATCCTTATATAATTTAATGTAAATAATCAAAATTAAATTATCTGGATATGTATTTCATTAAATAAGAATTATTTACAATTATTACGTAAAAATATCGTGAAAGAAATGATGCAATATATAAATGATGCAATTTCTACTTTTAATTAAAAGTCAGATACATCGGCATAAATGAATAAAACGATTGTACAAAAATGGCCGGCCGTTTTATCTTTGTCGCGTCTTTTTGCCGACGTTTCGTAAAAACGTCGCAATGCGATAATAAAGGAAAGATATTATGGAAGTCCTAATTTTTCAAAATTTTACAGGGAATACGTTTCTTGCAACTTTGTTTCATTAAAAGTTTGTACAGCGATGTTACGAGAAAAATATCACCGCGACTCGATCTTTCCAAAGAAATTAAATTAAACGGGGGAAAAAAACTTACTTAGAAAAAGTTTACTCGTAACAATTACGCAATACAAAAACCTAATCTTAAAGAATACATATTAAGCATATTTTTTATTAAACATACCTTTTTTCTTTAGATAATTTCAATTGAAATGGAAATTAATCCAATTAAAATTGAAATTAGAGGATTGCGTAAATAAAATATGTATCAGGAGATAAAAATTTAAAAAATAAAGATAGAATACGAAATACAATCCCTATAAAATTCTATTCTACACAAGTATTTATCGGAATAAATGAAAATAAGGATCAAAGAGAAATTATCAAATAATAACGCGCATATCCCCCTTTTAAATGGCAATCATCGAAATTAAAATTTACATTTAATAAACCACACTTGCGCAATTCGCAATATCATCAAACACAATAGAATCTCGATAATCACGCGATTACAAAGATAACTGGAACGAGATTCAAAGAGCAAAGGAGGGGCATTTCGGTAATGCAACGATCCCACAATGTGGTAATCCCGGCTCATCGCAGAAATATTTAGAAAGTAAAGTACGTTTCTCTAACTTCTCTAGAGACGGTATTATGTACAACGAATGAAGAGATTGTTACGATTCCAGCTTTGCGGACTTATACTCGTTCGGCTAAAGAGAGAATTGGATTGTAAGATGAACAGGAGAGAGAGAGAGAGAGAGAGTGTGAGAGAGGGGGTTGAGAGGAGCGTAAAGGTGGTGCTGGCGTGGCCACTAAAAGCATTCAAGGAAACCGACTCGTAACAACGTGCTTTTACCACGTAATGAAACATTTAACGAGAGACGCGTATAAAGCTAAAATCCCCAACGTCTATCACAGACGTCGTAACACAATGCAACGTTGTTCTGAAAGCAATATAACATTATTTTTGCGTTAACAAAGTCTCCCTCGGTTCCACTTCAATCCGCCATTACTTTCATTTTTTTTTTCGACGAACAAAGACGGCGTAAATGAAATGCGCAATGTAATTCCACTTTGTAGTATTATTTTTTAGAGCTACGCAAAAACCAGGTTAATTTTGTTTCGGAAACTGATCTGACAAATGAAGATAGTGGAAGAATTCTTTTTCGTCGAATCTTCGTTAGTTGAATTTCGCGAAAGGAATAATATGATTTCCCGTGTCGTAACATGGAGAGAAAGCAAGAGAGCAAGAAAGAAAGAAAGAAAGAAAAAAATCGTGATTTCGAGAAAACGGTACAGAAATATTAGACAATGGAAACGAGTAACACGATAAAACGAGGGACACGAAGGCTGACACAAGGAAAAATGAAATTTCCACAAGTGAGAATAGACGGATTTCAAAATGTTCTCGAACGAAGGAAACGCTTTCAACGTCTCGATAATATTTTCGAGCCAGAATTTTAAAGGACATATGTCAGAAGTCTAAAAATGGTAGTTGTACGACGAAATTGAATAATAGAATTACCAAAATATAAAATATAACACGATGATACACGAATTTTACGAATGATCGATGTATCAAATCTTGCATAAATATAATATCTGCGAAATTATAAACACCACTCCTGTTCAATTTTGTATTCAATGTAAAAGTTTTAGGGAGAAATGACAAAAATGAATCATTTTTCGTTTCATCTCAATATATCGAAAGAGTGAAAGATAAATAATTTTGCTATCTTAATGTTGAAATACGAAATATCTTCAGAATAAGATATTTTAAAATTTCTATGGCCGAACAAAAATAATGATTACAACAATTTTGTAAACTATCGATTAAGTTAACCATGAATTTATTTTACATCGATTCAACGGTCAGGCGTTCGAGAGAATTTTCCGTGTCGAACTTTTCGATGACACGACTCGCGAGGACACGAAAAATAGAAGAAAGTATACTTTCCCTGATTTGAACTACGTCGACTAAGATTTTATCACATCCACTCTCGGGGATCGAATCATGGCGGTCCAATCCAACGTCGATTCTGCTTTCAATTTACAGCACTCCAATTTCAAATTCTCTCCCCGACGAAGAAACGTGGAAACTCTGCTGGGTGGTCCATTCGGGTACGAACTTCGAGCAAGAAAGTCAAGATACGTTTATCCTTATTCTGTCCGCATTGACTATCGTGATTTTTTCTTCGAGAATTTTTTTCATTTTAATTCAAAAGCGAAGATTTATATTACTTTCGTGTCGACGATTTCTAAGAATAATTTTCAGAATTGGAATAATTTTACGAAATTCTTCGAGCAAACTATCGATCTTGCTGTCCATTTACAACGTTGGAAACGTTGAACTTTCTTAGCTCTTAGAATGCAGAAAATTCGTTGAATTCCAACATCAAAGTTCGTGTTTCGCGAGAGAAAAGCCCAAGTATTTATCCTAATTTCGCTCATACCAACTTTAGCATTGTCGTGTCCACTCCGTAAACCGAACCTTCTTCATCTACCTTAAATTTACTTTAAACTTTCTTTATTCAAACTTTGCTTCAAAACTTCGAACTTTACGGAATACGTTTTATCGAATTCCATTCTATTCATCTTCTACATTCACTCATATGAATCGAGCGAAATTTTAATGTAACAATTCAAAAATTACGAGAGGATAACAAATCCAATTTTCTTAAAAATATAAAAACTAAAACTGCTATATTGAATATCATTCCTTTTTTAAGATCACGTCCAATCACGAGACTCCTCTTCTCGAATCTCGCGAAGATCACTTTTGACTCACGTTTCCAACATTTAGCACTCCTTAAGAACTCGGACACGAATCAAAAACGATCGTCCACTTTACGTGTCACCGATTCCAGACAAAATGGATTCACCAAAATATTCAAATTACAAATTCCAATCCCAATCCTTTCGCCCCATTAAATATTACACCATTGTTCTCGCGTTCACACGTAAATCACACGGACCGCAAAATCTCACGACGCTGTACCGAACTCCTGCCATTCTCCCATTCTCCTCCATCATGTGGGGGCGCAGAGATCCTCCAACCCGCTTCCGGGGACTCGAGCTATCGGAAGGCCACGTGGCGCACACGCGCATAATTCCACGCGATCCATCCTGTGCACACACACACACGCACGATTCGAATCTCATCAAACACCGCGGCCAGCCGCCTTTAACTGCCTCAGACGGGCCGTTTAACCCGGCGGACATGGGACGGTGCACGGTTACACGGGGCATAGCCGGTGAATTCCGGCATGTGTCACACGGCAGCTCGTCGATGGTCTCGCAGTTGCAGGCGTGTACAACCCTGGCCAAAGCGCGGTCCAGCGGATTAGCCGCGGCAGTTTAACCGGCGTTAAGGCCATTACACACTGATTTGCCCTGGCGACCATATGGACGCGCGAGGCGAGGCCGACTGTCAGTCGATCGTAAGTTACAACGGGACTTGAGACACCGGATTACGGATGTAACGGTTGCGCCGCAATGACGATGGAAGACGGATCGTGTATGGAGCTGGAGCGTGATAAATTTATCGAGAGGAGTGTGTGTAAGGAAGAAATGGATATTTGAAGAAGAGGATATTTTCGAATTCGTTTTACGAAAAATTGTTTTCGTAAATATTGCGTTATCTTAGAAATTTTGCGCAAAAGATGATTAATTACGTGAATCTTTGGGAGGAGGACGTTTCGATTAAAGTTTATAACGAAAGTTATGCTTTGCTACATCTAAATTGGACAACTTTTCTTTTTCTTTTTCTTACAATTGTGTTACCAAGTGTTCCCCAGAAACTCGTAAAAATGTACAGAATAATTTAACTCCACTATGAGGAAATTATACAAATGAATTCCAGACTTTAAGATAGATTTTCATAAAGTTACAATTTCAAGTTTTTTATATGTGATAGCGTTCCTCGTAATTGCAGGAGAATTCATTAATACAAGGAATTTTCATTGTATAGAAATATATATATATGCGCAAGCAGATAATTAAAATACAAGGATAATTAAAACGCGAATAATAACTTTAAGTAGAATTATACAACGTATGATCAGATACACACTTCTAATCTTTCTCTATCAATTATTAATGATATTACTTTACATGTGCAAAGATATTAAATTATCATCTTACGATCTTTTTGCTATAATAACGGGCAAAAATTGGATCATCTATTGCAATTAATTGCACGAAGAACAACATGTATCAACACTCGCGTTACATCTTCTAAAAAAAAAAAACCATCCTCCCCAGACATTTCTAGATGTCATGGGATTCCTCAGACGGTGCCATATTCAACGAGACAGGATCCCCGACGAAGCGTGAATCTGCAAGGCAAAGAACAACGTTTCATAAGACAGACGCGTGGGCGGAACCACGTGTCAGTCTCCTGCACAGACATTAAGAGCCACGCTAAATCATTACGGCAGGTTTGGCGAGCGAATTTGCATAGGCGCCATATGTACATGCGCATGCACACACATACGCGGGAAAACGTGGTGTGACGTGAGACGAATCGACCGATTCGGTAGTGGCACGTTCCAACCCTCGTCCCTCTTTCAATTCTACAATCGGAATTCCAGGCGGACGATATGTTTTTTGATTAGATCGTATCAATTCCGCTCGCTAATTGTTACATTCAATTATAACACTGTGTAACGAACCCACGACTTGATGTCCAGAGACAAAAGTTTTTATTGAAAGTTGTGCAGAGAAAACGTGGATTTACGAACCGTATCCACGGAAAAGTAAACGTGATTGAAGTGAAATCGTATAAATGAAGTAATTTATATAATACGTCATGTAAATGGAACGTGCGTTGATTTACTACATTATTTTAGGGCTAATCTTAATTAGAACAAACGCAAGACGAAAGAAATATTATACTTAATTTATCGTAAGATGGATCTTTTGTAAATCCTACGTACAAATAGCCATTTGAGTCTCCTAGTAGACTCATCAGTAGTGCCATCTATCAAGCTCATGCTTTAAACACTGAGATATTATAAATTAGAGAAATAAGACGATGTATTAGCAAGTAACACGTGCTAAAATAAAACGACAAATAACTTATTTTTCTTTTCAACGAATATAAAATAGCACGTTTAAAATTATTTACAAAGGCACTCAATACCAAGAAAATATTTAATAATCATCCAAAGTTAATTAACTTGTGATTTGAAATAATATTTCATCTCGACAATCCCAATATTTCTCACGTTGGATAACGAAGAATTAGGCCTCGCGCAAAATCTTTCACTTCGATACAATTGCATCGAAACGGCTCATAACCAGCCTTACAATTTAAACGCCATTCCCGCCACTTAAAAGCTTGCGCGAGGCACGTTAGGTGACGCGAATTAGCGTATTGCAACGAGCAAGCACAATTTGCCGGATGGAGGATCATTTCCGGCAGAGCCTCGATTCGTTCCTTTTCAACCGGGGTCACTTCTCCATCGCTTTGTGCGTTTCGCCTAGTAATAATTTACATGCAAATGGAGCCCCGTAACGCAAGAGGGGGGCCACCAAACCGGAGACAGTGAACGCTGAAGCGTGGAAAGGGTGTGGGGAAAGAGGGAGTTTTCGGGCTCCATTTATAGCGGTAACGAAGCTTAAGATTTCAATTCAGTTTTAGGACACATAATTATGCGCGAGCGGGAAAGGAAAGCTTTCTTCGACGTTCCCTCGGCGAGATCTTAAGCCGCTTAGTTGCCTGTAAAATGGCGGACTCGAGGGCCTTGGGTGCGCAATGATGGAACAAAGAAAAGCGCGGATTAAATGGAGTCGAGCGCTCGCAGTGACGTTCAGCTCGCGCTAGAAAAGGGATTATTAAATGGGGCATAATTGTTGGATAACCGACTACCGTGGAATTTCGGCCGGTTCTAAGGTGGCACGACTCTTAAATCCGGCCGTTTATTTATGCTCACCGACCGGGAAAGAAGTTTTTGGGATTATTAAAAAATTCTACGCCCAACGATACCGCGCCCTTTTGAAAAGCCAAGCGGTCAAGCGTTGGAACAATACCGATTGTTTCGTAAAAGTGGATGACCAAGTGGCTCGGTTGTTTTTTCCAATTTTTTCATTTCGCGTAAATGTTCTGAAGTTTTGAAAGTTTTGAATGATGTTAATTGGTACGACTAATTTTAAAACGAAAATTTTTAAATCAAAAATTAAAAATCATTTAAATATAGATATACCTTTCTTTTTGAACAAGTTTATATCCATACTTTAAAAAATAAAATGAAAGAAAAATTTGTTTCTGTTTGTTATTACTTTTGTGTTAATTAGAAAATTGTATTAATTGTTAGAAATAAAGAAATGAATTTCTTTCTACGTACATTTTTTCATATTAAAGTTGATATATATTAAAATCATCGGATGATTCATATTTCAGTAGTACGAGTCGATTATTCATCCGCCTTGAGATATATAGCACACAAGATAATTCTTTTTTTTTTTTTTTTATTCAATATTCTTAATACGAAAAATATCTTTTATATTATTAATTCTTCTAATTCTTCGTCTAAATTCATAAGGAATCGTTCATCTATAAATAATCTTGCAAATTTAATTATTGGAATGTAAAAAGATAAGTTGGAAATCCTAATTCCAATAGAAATATTCTTCTCTTCAATAATTGAAATTTTAGTAATCGAAAATTCCCTTTCTTCACAAATATTAATTTCATTCTCATTCTTTAATCGCTACGATCGAACGGGTAGAAATAATAAAAAAAAAAAAAAACCGGAAGCGGTTTCCCGCATACCGATGTTGCGCTGTCAATAAACGGAATCGTGGTCGGATGCAGACGGAATGTGACGTTCTTTAAAAATTCACAGAGCCGCAATGCGTCGCGACGTCTAACACGATCACGTCGACGTCGTCGTAACGTCTTTAGACATCCAGACGGATCGATGTCCCCTCTGTTTCCGGATCAAGGAAAGTCCGAACTCACTGTCGTCATTCGATTTTCGTGTAATTGCATTTCTTTTTCCTCTCCCTCCTCCCTCTTCTTCGAAGCGAAGGATCCAAGTTGTCAGGGGACGCGTTTTTACGAATGATACCGAAGGGCAACCACCTCGTCCTTGGCAGAATTTATTTCGAGGGTAGATATATTCTCGGCGTATCGCGATTAATAATCGAATGGATCACGCCATTTCAAATCCTGAGCGCTAAATTGTTCCCCATACGATACAGACCGTAATTTGAACGCAAACAGGCACTTCGTTAATGGGCTCAGCCGTCAAATAAACCGCTCCGTAATTACTTTTCTTCGAATTGTACCGTCGTCTGGATTGCCGGTGAGAATATTTAATTCGAATTGCGTCTGGATTTTGAATTAAATTTGTTAAATTCGAATTTTAAAACGTTAATCGATATTGATTTTTAAAAACATTTTGACGTACGAATTTTAAATATTCCACACATTTTTTACTTCATTTTTCCCAAATCTAAAACTAATTGCCGTAACACTTTTTATCTTCCTCCCCAAAATCGAGATTCAAACGAAACTTCATCTCGACCCTCATCCTCCACGTGAATTCCAGTTCACACGAAAGCCAATCTGCAGGCGAAACAGGCCCCCTTAAAAGAATTTGCACACGCCGAAGGAAATACGATGTATTATGGTAATCGTCGTAGCTTGGAGAAAATACGGAGAATCGGGGGGAGAGAAGGTTCGAATTCAATGATCCTCTCGGCCCAATTTCGTCCTCGGCTCATGGCCACGCTACACGTGTTTGCGTATGCACATGGTTTGAACACCCACCCTCGAACCACCACCACCCCCTCCCACCCCCCTCTCACGAATTCCGCGCACGTACGTACTTTCGCGTAGTTTGTACCTTTGCGCGTCGATTAAACCTACCCCATCCCCCGACCCCGACCCACCACCTCCTCTTTACGACGCCGTATCTCCGCGTCGTTACACACGTCTCTGTGTCTCCGCGAGATACCGAAAGGCGCTTCTCTCTCTTCCGGCTAATTGCCACTAATTCCGCTCAAACCACTTCGAGAGCCCTCTTGTTGATACCGACTTACTAGTCTCTCCGCTCTTGTTCTTGCTGGCTTCACCCCTTCGCCACGCTGAGTTTGCTTTCCACATTGACGCGGTCTAGGGTTACTTAGGGCGGTATCAGTTGGGTTGATCGGTGGTGTGTCGGTGTGTTTGGAAATGCAAATTCAGACGATTCTGCACGATAACAGTGATCGCGTTTTGTTCCAGGATTATTCGAATTATCATCGCACTGTTGTTGAAAGATTCGAATTTTGTTCTTTTGAATCTTGTGATGATGTATTTGAGAATAACAGAGAATTGTGAATAAGAATAATTGGAATTATTTTGCTCGACGATAAATTCCTGTTCCTCTTGTGATGATGAATTGCTCTTTGATTTTTATCGTTAAATTTCATTAGGGACGTGATAGTGTACTTATTCGCGGGCTAGAAGATGTATTAATGTACATACAGAGTGTACGCAGGCGATACTGTTGAAAGTTGAGAGTATAGATCCTTATGGTAATGAGCGTAGATAAGCTGCCACAGGCTTCATATAATGGTCAATAAGCTAACAATGTGAGATTACCGATGAAGGAAATGCTTTTGGTAAATGTTTGGTTCGTACAATTAATATTTTTGGTAATTTTTATATCGATTTAAAATATATAATCAAATATATAGCTATTCATCGATATCGTCCATAACAGTAAAAAAAAAAGAGTCATTGAAGTAACAGGATAGTTGATTATATTTTCTATCGAAGTTCCCTTTCTCGACTCGCGTATCAATATAAATAATTCCAAATTTATTTCAGCGCCGAGATCCATAATACATCCACCAAAGACGATAACACGATTACAGAGCTACTTTCGAAAGCACCATCGCCGTACTAATACCACCCCTCTTCTCGCATGGTCTTTGATCTTCGGTCGAACCTTATACAATTTCAATTACACGCCCTTATAAAATTATAGCCTCTTTGAATCGGATTTCAAATCATCAGTAGAACCATCCTTGATGGACAAATTTAAAAAAAATATACATATATATAGATATCTAATCCTTTCACTCTTTTTAAAAAGGAAAACTTCTTGAAAAATAAAATCCCAAAGAAATTTCTTCATCTTATGAAATATAATTAAATTTTACGCTCTAAAGAATATTGCCGATTAATAATCAATTGTTGAAAACTTGAAGAACGCTATATTTTTTTTTCATCGCACGAAAATCCTTCAAAGATTGATAAGAATTCTTCGCAAAGTCGTTAGTTAGCGCGAAAATTCGAAGATTAATCGTCTCTTTGATTGTTAAAGTCATACCAGTGGTTCCATTCAAGTTATTCGACAGCCAAACGATAATCGATCGAAGATCCCATAAAAGACCGGAAATGTGTCAGGATGATTAACATTTTCAATGGTCCGCCTGCAGGAATGCTTCAACTTATCGGCGGATTAGCGTGTACCCAGATATCGGACGGATGCTTGTGACTCGAGATGATGCATGAACATCGATACACCGGCCGTTGCTAATCAGTTACACTAATTAACCATGTTAATGGATATTGCAAAGCGTCTCGAGCAAAAGCGGGGAGGGAGAGTAACGCGCATCGATCGATTCTTCGCTTCGACGAGTTTTGGTTCATCAATTCTGTTCAATGCAGATTAAGATCTTCTTATATGAGCAAGTTGAAGAGAACAAACTGATTCAAGCGATAAATTTTGTGAATATTGATAAATGTACCGAGAGAAATTTGTGGAGAATATTATATCGGAAATTCGATGAATTTTCTTGAATTTTTATGTATTTTTATTTATCTGATATTTAAAATATTGAATTAATTATTCAATATGATAAATTATCAATTGGAATGAAATAAAGATTCAATTATCTTTACCTATTAAAAAATAAGAATTTCGTTGTTATTTAAATATTTTCATTGAAAAATTATTTAAAATACCAGTTATTTTGACAAATTGTATAAAAAAAAAAGGAATGTATAATAAATCCGAGAACATATTAAAAGATAATTTTCCCATGTATCATGTTATGCACGTTAAATTTACAAATGGTATCGCGTGTTTTCGTATTGTAAAAACTTACGACCACTTAATTTGTTGATTATGCAAATTGGACACGACTGAACATAATTCTGTTTGCGACAGTACAGTAATCTATTATCTACAGTCTCGTCGGATGACTAACAATCTGTTATTAAATCCACTCAACTAATAAGTTTGCCAAAACGTTTATTCTGCCGGAAATATCGTTTATCATCACGTATTTCCGTTTCGAAGTTTAAACTTGCACGAAATCTTGGCTTACACATGTTGCTATTAAAAGCACGGATTTTACTCTTCTCCCTGAATTAGCTCAATTAAATATTCTCGCCCTGTTAACACTCTCGCTCCTGTTCCTTAAAGAAAAGGCTCAAGAGAACAAGGGGTTACATGCTCTTATGAAAATATAATTAAGAATTTTGCTAATATTTGACATGGTTCGATGAAAAAGCCGAGATAAATTATTTCTGAAATTATTTATAAGTGTTATACGAATATTTTATTGTATTAAAAGGATTATTATTAAAAAAAACTTGTGAATTATTCATTCGAAAAAGAAAAATTAAGAAATAATTGAACATTTTAACGACGAAAAAAATTTGTCCACGTTATATTTAATGAACAATTTGATTAGTAAACACGTAGAAGAAATTCAAAGAAACTTCTTTAAAAATATTCTTTAAAAGAATTCTCATCTCGAAATTGTTCTTCAGAACAACTCTCGCTAAAAAATTCTCTCTGATCTCCCTTACTCTACTACTTTATTTCCATTGCCACGCTTTAAAACTCTCATTTTTGCACATCTTCATACAGATACACAACCACTCGAATACTGGAACATTCATTGCTGAAATTCTCTTTCTCTCTCTCTCTCTCTTCTGAAAAATTCTCTCGCTCTTACGATAAGTATTGCATATCAGAATCATCTAGTATCCTAGCTCATTTATTAAATCTATATTTTCTTCCTATTATCACATATTCTATATCTAATGTTACACAGAATATCAATTTTCAAATCCTATTTTTAATAAACGTTCATATTTAAGATATAAAACTTAGCAAATAATGATGACAAAATGACAAAAATTTCAACAAACAAATAATATTTCATGCTATCATTTTAATATCCAAACATATCAATCTATTTTTTGGACAAAACAATAAACTTATACTAAAAACATAAAAAAAAAAAAATACATAAATTCTCATCTAAAATTTAAAAACACTATGGAAATTAAATTCTCTTTGCAAGTTTCATTTCTAACAAACATACTACTAAAATCATCCCCTTAACATCCCCATAAAATTATAAATCAAATACTTTCGATCTCTACTGACATTGAAACAATAAATTCGTATTAAAAACCTCGAAGGATTAATAAAAATCACGTAATAATCATAGTGTTTTGTATATTTTGACAGATTTCTGTATTATTTTTTTTCATTTTTTTTCTGTATTATTATTCTTTACATTTTTCTGTATTATCGAGTTTCAAAGAGTTATTCCTCTATTCTATCGCACTACTCCTACTTTTCTGGAACCGAGTTAAGATGTGGAGTTGTTTCCTAATGTATTGTCATGCACACATTCACGGCAACTAGAATTCCTATCGATCCTTCCATTGACAATAACAAATTAATGTCTGTCCATTAAGCATTAATGACGCATTGCCTATGCCCTTGGTACGTGCCAAGTGTCTCCGCTAACTATCGTGGCGATTTATGTTGCCCGAATGCATAATTCTGTCCCCGTTTAGAATAATTATTACTAAAGGATGGACCAAGTTTTGTCATGCGATTGCTTTATAATTCTCTTCCTAGTTAAGAAGTTTTGAAATTTTCTTGAGAGAATTTTTCTGAATAATGATTACGACGATATATGTATAAAAGGTAGACAAGAGGAAGATAACTAGACAGAGTTATAAAAGAAAGAGTTAAAAAATGATTTAAAAAATGTTCTGATGCACACGAATGGAAATATTTGTAAAAAAAAATATTTTCTTTCGATTGAAGAGGGTAAACGTTCTAACTTAATCATTTAACATTTCAAAAGCTTTTTCAGAAGAAAGATGTTAAAAAGTTTTTCTTTGAAAGATATCTTTCATGCGCAAGATACAATACGAAACTATTTAACTTCCTTGACACTTCGATTTTGTAATATATCAAAATCAAATAGATAGTGATTGTAAAAATGAAATAAGAAATCAGTTTGATGATCCATCAGTTATTGTTCTCTTTCTTTCTCTTTCTCTCTCTTTATCTAATGACGTATTAAATTTTACTATATCACTAAAATATAACTAGAATCGACAATAATTCGTCGAAGAAAAAAAACAATTATTAAAACTATCTTTCTTGAGATTACCCTCCATCTAATCAATCCTCGAAGATCGATCGTTATTTCGAACAGTTTCAACAATTGACATTCAGCTACAATGATGCCCACGGAGAGAAGATACCCTGGATAATCTGACAAAAGATCCCATGCGACCTCAACTTCGAGACAGAAGTCTCTTTCGGTTCGAGTGAAATTCAATAATACTTTGTGCTCAGAAACGAAAAAGGGAAAAAAAAAAAAAAGAACGTATAGAGATCGTACATCAAGCTAAGGGGGATAGAATTAGAAGAAGAATGGAGTGGACAAAGGGGCTGACTTTTCATTGATTAGATCACTTAGAAAATTCTCTTCGATATTCGCCTATCTAAAATGAAGAAAAAAAAGTTAATTCTTTAAATTTAACGTTTCATTTCATGAACAAAGATTGCATTTAAATGATATATAGTATATATATATATATTATATATTGCCATCAAATCTGATGCCTTGCGGTTGACAAGGATTTGGAAATGACGTACGAACATCGATTGTAACATTAATGCTTAATCATGGATAATGTTCGATAATCGTGTTACCTTTGTCGAATATTAGAGAGAGACAGAGAGCGATAAGATAATAGATAAAGTCGATCACTCATCTTCAAACTCATGGATCAAAAGCATGGATCGACTTGCCTTCCATCGTTCAAAGCCTAATATGCCAGTCCTAAGGAAATTTCGAGACGAAGGAAATCATCGATGCGGATCCTCTTGAAACAGAAACATTAATAATTCGTCAGTATTACATTTCCTTTCGCACATTTTCCTCTCGATACAACAAAATTAACAAGAAGAGTAAAAACTTGAATATATCCTGTTTATCTAAATGATAATTTCCGAAAAAAAAATATTAATATTTATTCATCCTCGAGTTGTAAAATCAATATCTCACAACAGGTGATAAGAATAAAAATTGCGATATATTTATCAATGTAGTCGCATGATTTTTATTCTTTTCCAGTCGCTCCAGTTTGTCATCACGGTCAGGTGAAGGTATTCGGTGTGGCTCGACAGGAAACCGCGAGGATACCGTGCGAGCTCGAGGCAAATCCACCGGAAGTAACGTTTATGTGGAAGTTCAATAACACAATGGAGACGATCGACATACCTCAAGCACAAGTCATCAGCGAGCGAACACGTTCCACGGCCTCTTACACACCAATGACCGAGTTAGACTATGGTACTCTGCTTTGTTGGGGTACAAATGAGCAGGGAACGCAACTTGAACCCTGTGTCTATCACATTGTCCCAGCTGGTAAGTGTCTTTTATGTCGACACATTTAAATTTCTATTGTTCCATCATCATACACGAATATGCGGAACTTCGTTCTTTCTTTTCGATAAAAAATATTTGCAAATTGAATTTTTTCATCCGTGACAAAGTAAAAATGAATTATTATTTTTCTATGCTTTCTTCTCTTTAAATACTCTATTCACAAGTTGGTACGTATTTTTAAAATTCAGTATCAAATATGCAATAATCACTTGGAACGAATAAATCAATTGGAAATCTCCTCGATTCCATTATTCCACTTTCCTTTTCTTCCAAGAGAATGCTGTCTGACATCGAACAAAAAGGAAAAGTATCAATCTCGATTTCAAAGAATATTCGTGTTAAAACAATTGGAAAGAATCGAGCAACAGGATTTTTCGCTCGATATTAAAACATTCATTTTTAACGAGGATCCGGGTATTTCAAAGTATCCTTGTGCTTCTTCGGATAATCCTTTAATCCAAGGAAAATTCGCATTATCTTAAGTGCAATGCGCGAGACCGTTGAAAATTGTCCATCCCCTAAGAATATACTTGCAAACTGGCTCCAAGTCACGAGATACTAGCTTTATGGAAAAACTTCGTTTTTAATTATGTAACAATCCGTGGAAACCGAGGAAATTAAGATTTTAGTGTAAATATAAATCGCCAGGATTTACAAGAGTGGAGAGGTGAGAAGTGGCGAGTGGAGGATTGGCCGTGCAACCGGTTCTCGAGTAATCCGGGGAAAAGTGTCTCCCGTGGGATGGTTGATAGACGTAAATTAGATTTAAAAAGTTCCTCATTATGCAGATTAGAAACAACGACGGACGTCTCCGTAGCCGAATGTCCGTTTTCTTTACGGTGGTCCGCGTTTTCTTTTTGCGATCTCTTATCGACTGAAAAAACTCGTGTGTTAGTATTCCGTGTTCGAACGAATTACAGAACTGGATATTTCTTTTTTTTTTTTTTGAAATTGTATCGTTCAGATAAATTCAATTTCGAGGATTGTTTGCTTCTGTTGGTAAATGTTAATAAATCTTTGAAGCTAGATCGAATATTTGTTTAAATCGATGCTTTCATATCCTGTTTTACTTTTATTTAGTCATCTATTTAGTTTCCTATTGAAAGGAATATTTAAATACATATTTGTCTATCTTATAAAAATATTGAAATGAATATTGAAAAGTGATATTTATAGTTATCGATAAGAAATAAAAAGTACTTTTTAAATATTTTATCTTAACTCGTATATGCATACCCACACACGTGTATTGATTTTATTGAAAAAATTTCACACGTTGAATAAAAAAACGCAGCGTATGTATTTATTAAAAACGAAATAATTTTCACGAGGATTTCGTTCGTTTCGAAATAAAATAATATCCAAGAAGAAACTAGATTTTATCGAATATTTCTCATAAAAATAACAAGAACTTGGCAAATCTTTGAACATTTCAAGTTAAAAACAGCCACGAAAACTCCTATGAATAATATGGCGTATGGAGGACGAGTTTTCGACAGGATACGACATCGTGGACGAAACGCGTCACTACGCGTGATGAACGCATTTTAGTACCAGTGGAAGGCACTAAACCGTGCCAACGAAGCAATAAAAAGCGCTATTGAACAGGGCATTGCATAAAATGGAATCGTCCGCTTTTGGGAATTCGTTACTGTCCCGAAACGAAAATCTAAACTGAACTTGTATCTGTTGATTAAAGAGAGCGTAGAGACACACTATCGTTTGCGAGACACCAGGTTCCACATCGGTTCGTACGTGAACGGGTAGACGTTCGAAGGGTGTCTCCACGCTTTCAGTATTCCGTTCTCGTCTGGAGAGGACAGACGTTTGTCGTGATAGTTTGCCCAACTTCGAGTCGCTTCATCTCTTCGCCCGACGCAATCACGGGTCAGCTATGGGGAGCTACATTTCCAGGGTTACTCGAGCTAACGCTATTGAAGAATAGAGATAGCTTTATTACGTTTCTTTTCGAGCAGAGAAATGGAAAGTCGGCGTAAACAAGTATTGGGGAGAAAACGTGATACATAATTTAAATCTTGGATGCGATTTAGAATCGAGATAAAATGTTTGTGAACTCCAAACGATTTTACAAGAGATCGATATAACTTTTCGATATTGTGATTCAATTTGCACAATAACGTTGATTGTTTAATCAAAATCATACATGATATATTATTAAGCAAAGTATTATTTCTATTTGTCAAATTCAAAAATGTAGAAGTAAGATAGTAGAATATGTAATACTAAGTTCCATGATGATTATTGGTACATCTTGAATTAATTAATGAAACATCACTGTACACAATATCAAAAATATTATTGATTATTCAATGATCGATGATTTATCAAAAAGGATAGACATCCCTTATTATATTATACTCATCGTTATTATTCTGTTATCCAATTTCGTCAAATATCTTCCACCATTCATAACAATTCTCTCACCAAAACCTCTTTCATCTAGCCCAAAATTCCACGAAATGATCTCCACTTGTCCCAAAACATACAATACGCTTTCGGTCAACGTAAACTGTCGAAACTTTCGAATCGACCATACTAATTATTCGACTTCACAGGTCACCCGGACACACCGCGCAATTGCTCTCTTTTGAACCAGACAATAGACTCGCTGTACGTGGAGTGCATCGAGGGGTTCGACGGTGGCCTGCCGCAGAAGTTCACGATACAGGTGGACCGTGAGTCGGGAACAAGCAGCATATCCTCGAAACCGAGCACCACGGTTTACAATCAAACGAGCAAAGTGCCATCGTTCTCGGTCGGAAATCTCGAGCCGGGGACCACGTACGACGTCCACATATACGCGAGCAACAGCAAAGGTCGAAGCGAGAGTGTCCACTTCCGTGCAACCACCCTGAATCTGCCCGAAAGGCGAACAGGTGAGTTTTCAGACCACGAATTTCAATCCAATATAACGAATATCGAAGAATAAACGAGCAGTTTACTACTTCTTATCTCACATCTCGAATCGATCTGAACCGTTGGGATCGATCATCATTGGCACATTACTCTCCGAGCACTGTCTGCTACGCTGCACGGCCTTGCATCGTAGAGCTCACGCGATTATCTGTATTTCTTCTTACTCTTCCCATGCTGTACTCGTTCACCCTCTTTCCGACTCTTTCTTCTATGTCACACACAGATACCACCTCGCGTGGTGTTCACTCTCTTTCTTCCTGTTCTCAACATTGGTCACACCACATCAATCTCATCGATCCTGCTCTTGAGCTACGTGTACACCACTTCGCTCAGACCTTCGAGAGACCTCGGTTAGAGATCCGTTTACTTACGATCCAACGGGCAAGAAACGAGCGAACGCTGCAACACACGCGTCGATGAGTTTTCCGTGAACCGACTTTATATACCTGAGATATCCTGGGATGGTTTCTTTCTGAATCGGGGGAACGACACCACGTTGGGAAGGATTTCGAGGATTTAATCGACGAAGAGATCTCGCGTCCATCTTTTCGTACAATTGTTAAGTTTTCACACGGGGAAAGGAGGTCTTGATCTAGTCGGAAATTCGAGTATATCGAAATTTAAGTATCGTGTTTACACGTTTGTGAAATTAGAGATTATTGATCTTTGAATTTTTCCTTTTGTATGTATCATTATTCGTTTTTAAAGGCTATTTGTTTGATTTAAAATTTTTAAGAGATTCAGGTAACTTTGCAATGTAGATATACATCATACACTTCTTAAAGTTATTAATTTCTCAATCAATCTCGAACAGATTTTATTTTTCTGTTCACATTACATTAAGGTTGTCTTTTTGATTGATATCGATGACTGAACAAATAGATATAAAGAACTATAAATGAAAAATGAAATAATCTTTGAAGTTAGAAAAATATAAACAATAAAAATATAATTGTTCATCTTATTTCAGCTCATCATCAATGTAAAACAGAAAGCTTATATTCACGTATAATTATTGCACCACGTCATTACACCTACATCATTTATCTCGTTTCAGCTCATGAAATAGATATCCTCACAACTGTTACACTATATCCTAACACCCACGTCTCGTTTCATCTCATTAAATAAGCCCTACATCATTACATCATGTTATTAAAAGCAATTTCTTAAAAAAAATATTAATTAAACGTTCAATAATTATCATTTAAATTCAATGTCAAATGCGATAGAATAATTATTCATGAAAAGAAAAAAAGTTATATTTTCGCTATTGCAATTGTCATATTTTATCATTTATTATTTTAAGCTCTCATTCTTCATAATATCAAGTATCTACAATATATCTACGGTTTCGAGTATCCAAGGGATGGGTTTGGAACTCATCCCTTGCGGATATAAGGTTCTCACAATATATCACTGTGGAAAATGGTCCTGTATCGCGTTGTAAACCATACTTTTCCCTAAGTGCCCGCGATGAAGATAGTTCCATTACCGTGATTGAACTGTCGTTTTACAAGGGAAAAAATGACAGTTCCCGTCCCGACACCGCCATGCTGCAGCGTTTACTCGGCCACTCGGTATCGTAGACGCGCGATTAAGCGCTTGACACCGATAGTTTCGATCCTCGATCACCAGTCGAGCTAAATCTACGGACTTCCGGTCCCTGTCGAACTCGATTATCGTCCCCTGCGCTCCGTGATCCGTGATCTCTTCAAGTATAGAGTCGAAAAATGTATCCACGCGATAATAACAATGAAAGTTATAAATCTTTCTTCGATTTAATTTTTTTTTCTTTTTCTTTTTCTCTCTTCGTTATTGGATAATGTTCGCTAGCATCGAATTAACGATAAGAACGAAACGGAAATTAATCGCCATAATTGATTTGTTGGGATTAATTAATTGACAGTGATGAATATAATTAATGGTTCGATTATTATAATTAAATTTATGGTGTTCGTTTACGAATTTAATTAGACTGAATCGAGTTCAATTCTCTGAAAATACAGTGACACAGATGACACAGTGACAAATCGAACACTTCATTGCATTATTATTACGATGATTCTATAATTGACAAGAACATTTGTTTCATTTAAATATCTGACAGATCTGAAATATATAATTTCCTTGTATTGACATATCCTGCAGTCGTCAATAATAGAATAAACAATATCAATTTTACCAGAAAATTCTAATAATTGACTTGTCATTTGTTTTTGTCTAATTGAATGCAAAATGCTTAAAAGAAGAAATGTTTTTAAAAAATATATTTTTATTGAAGATAGCAACAACAAAATTTAATTTATCAAATATAATACACTCGTCTTGAATCGACCAAATCGATCAAAATAACAAGTTGAAAAAAAAACATGATCGAATTAAAAAGTAATTTTTCATCGAGAAAGAAAATTGAATAAAATATTTCCGCGCTTAACCAGACATCGTATATACTTAAAGCGACATCACAATGGCGAACGGAGCAGACGAATTACCAAGGAAATTAACGAGAATCAGAATAGAAAGGTTGAGAGGGGGGAGAGGGGACACTAGTCTGACAAATTACTACTCTCGCTACTTTGCTTCTGCATGGGGTCACAAGAGAAGGCGTGTACCGGAAAAGGAATTTCTCTTGTAGGCCAGGAAAATAATTTTGTCCCGGATTACGACTCTGTCAGATTGCTAGCTCATTCTTTCTGCTAATTGCTAACAATTAACCGTGGAACGCGGGGCCAGGCTGGCCGTAAACGTGGCCTGTGTACAGTACGCGTTAATAATGCGTGGCTAATTGGGGTTGCGGGGGCGGGCGATAGCCGTTCTCCTCTCTCGTCGTGGACTCGGCCTATTCTGTCCGTTGGCTAACTGGAAATTGGTGTATATCGTTCCTGACTGTTGGCTCGCGTTCTAATTGTACTCCTATCTTTTATGAACGTCCAACGATTGTGAAGTGGAATTTTTTTTTTTTTTCTCAAAATTGCGGTTGATTAAAAGAAATTCTTGTTATAGGATTCTATCCCATTTTAATAGAGATAGATTCCGTTTCGTTGCATTCGTTTGTATTGGATTAGCGGGGAAATTATGTTGATTTTTCATTTCAGTGAGATAAATAGTTTCAAATAGCTCGTACGAATTATCTTTTCGTATATTGAATTTTTTAAAAGGATCTAAAAAAAAAACTTCAATTTCTAAAATTATTATTCGTTATAAATGGTAATTTTTAATAAATAATCGATTTTACTTGATATTTCTTCGAAAGAATTTAATTCTGTGATATATATTAATATTAGAAATTTCGTATTTTAATTGAGCTCAAATTCTCCGTATAATAGATTCTCGAATAATAATAATATATGCTCCATTTCTTTGATAGAAAAATACGAAGATTTCGCGAATATTTTCTCAAAATATTTTATCTAAATCATATTTCGATTATTAAAAAGAAAAAGTTGTAAACTGGATAATATTTTTTTTTCTCAAACAAGTTGATTGGATTTTTCCACAATGATATATATCAATAAATATACTGGCAAAGTGTCAAGTAGTACGAGTCAATGGTATCCCTTCTTACTCTTTATGCAATTCGATAAAACAAGCGTTACTTCTTTTTCCGTTCTGTATTTAGTTGCCGAGTTTTTTTTAACAAACCGATAATGTTACATTCTATCGACATTCTCGTTTTAAAATGCAAATGTTTGCTAATCACATTGACGGAAGACACCTCGATACAGGGATTTAACGGACGTTAATCGTATCTCGACATTTCTGACATATTTTAACTTGAATATTCTCGCGAATTCTTTTTTTAGATTGAAAACTTTTTCATGTTAAAACCATTATTATGGTGAGACGGTTAATTTATTCGCGTATGAATTTCATTAACGATAATTGAAAGATCTCAATTGTGATATGTTATGAATTCATTTTAATCAATGTAGGTATTTAATTATTCTCTTCGTTTCCTTTTTCATATATCCATCATGTGTACGATAAATCATTCGTAATTAAAAATGAGATAACAATCCAGAAAGCAGTTTCCACGAAATTTTTAAAATACGAACAAAATTCGTGGAAAATTATTGGACAATTTAAATAATTTGCACAAACTTTATAAATTAGAATTTAAAAGATGACATTTATATCTTTAAAAAAAAAAAAATGCTGATTTAGAGATAAAAAAAAATTTTGTTTAAATCTGTTTTAAAATTGCAATAAAGTTTTAAAATTTTGTAACAATATTTATATGCAATTTTTTTTTTATTAAAAAATCCTTAAAATTTTCATAATAAATACTAAATAAAAAAATAATTGCTTAAATTGCTTAAAATTCTTTTCTTGATTCACGTGTAAAAATAAATATATTTCGTCATATTTGTAATTTTCATATTATTCATTGAAATAACCAATATATCGAACGATATTTCCGCTTATCTAATCAAAATTTCAATTCCAATAATTACAAGTAGTAGGAACGTGTTAAACGAATCTTCGGTTTATCGAGGCAGTCGATATCGTTGACCAGCGTCGCTCGATTTTCGTCCGCCGGTTTATTGACTCGTACCCCTGCTGCCTAACTCTAGGAGAAAGGAAGCAAAAAGAGGACAGGAGAGAGAGAGAGAGAGAGAAAAAAAAATAATTCTAGCAGTTCCGTGCTCTCGTTCACGCGTGTAAACGCTTCTTCTGTCGAATATTTCGTTCGATAAAATGACCAGCTGACCGTAATTCCGACACGAACTTACTTTAGCTTCGAAACGAAAGTCAGACGCTTGTTACGCGACGTGCAAACGACTGGCTCGAACGACTCGATATCGATACCTGGCCTGTCCTCCCTTATGGCGGATATCGATTACGCTTTGACGTTTATATTAAAACACGTTCGCGCGGCGAATGAGAAACGTGGGCCGGAGGGTTGGCACGGATTTTTCGGGTGGAAACTCGATCGAATCTGTTCAAAAAGGAAAAAAAGACAGAAAGAGAG